CTGCACCTACAACGCTAGGAGAGTTTCCAACCACTCCGACCTCCCGTCCCTCTCAAAAGTGCAAGGTGCATATACCAAATACTTGCCTTGCCGGAGACGAAGTCCAGGAAGATGGACATCAGGCAGCTGAGTGATGGCACACTCATCATTCGTGGTGGAAAGCTCCATCACGGAACGTTGGAGGCATCGGTTTTGTCTTTCCCCCTCTGTCGTACATCTTGTCGATTCGCATGAGATCCTATCGCCTCTCCTGGCTATCCGTCGAGCGTCCTCTGCATCAAAGCATCACTATTATCGGCTGTTGTTCTCCAACTTCATGCTTTTTATGAGAAATTGGAGGAAGTAATCCGCAAAGAGAATTTTTTCTACAAATTTGTTGTGGGTATGCGAAGATCGGGATTTCAGAGGAGTGGAATATAGGGTCGGGAGATTTGCATCAGGACTCTGGAATGAAAATGGTCGTCTTATTGGACTTTTATCCGCTGCATGACTCTTTCATGGCAAACTCCATTTTCATGAAGAAAGAAATCGGTGGCGGACATGAGAATCGCCCAACGGTACCATACATGCGGAGATCGACCACATTATCACTAACTGAAGCTTATTGGACGTCTCAGTTGTACCATCTTTCGGCAGTGGTTCCGATCACCGTTTTCTTCCAGCAATAGTGCGATTCAGCTGAAAGCGAGAAGAAGATCTTTCACCATTTCGGAGAAAGGTTAGTAGACGTATATGACGGCATCAGGTTGGAGGAGCTTCTCACCACTGGTGATTGGCCAATCAAGGAGGACCTAACGAAGGCTTGCGACTTACTTCTTAGATTAAAAGCCTGTGATAAAAACCTCGTTTCCCGAAGAAGAGACTTTTCGTAAGTCACCAAGATTTGCATGAGAGAGGGACCGAGGCTGAATCCGATTGCATCACATCTCGAACGACTGCCAATACCAGTTGCACAACGGTTTTGCAGGTTGATTTCCGATTGTACAGGCAATCGTTACTTTTGGAAGCAGCGCAAAGAAGGCGAAGTCCAAAGAAGTACCTGTGATCTTCTACGTATTTTGCTGACCATTACTAAAACCTTCCCGACCGATCATGAAGAGCTTCTACACCTCTTCCGCTCATCAACACTCATTTCAAACCCCGTTATTCCCACTTGTGACTACCACCATAGATTCTACCTGCTGAAGTACGCGCCGTTCAAACTATGAAGGCAACCACAGTGTCAATACCGGACCATGTTTAGACCGACCTCTCAAGAGCAGGAGGACATCATACACGAGATACTTGCGGCGCATCTAACGTCTTACCTTCAAAAGGAAAGGATTCCCGATTAGTGAAGAACTTAAAGTTTTCCTCCATAAGAAGGACGATAGGCAGGATCGTCGGAACTACCGTCCAATATGTTTGTTGAGCGTGCTTTACAAGCTTTTCATGATGACCATTCTTATTCACATATCAAGGACGCTGGATGACCCCTGTATACAAGCTGGATGGTACAGGAATTAGCTGCTTAGATCAAATCCAAAAGATTTCGAGGTCGAGGTCTGGTGGGTGTACTGCCTATCGTCTTAATTTTCCTCTATGAAAAGTTTACAGCATCGAGGTTAACCGCATATTGTCAACGCTTATCGACCAAGAGGTGGGCTTGTCTTACGTGAGGAGGTTGGTCGACCGCTACAGGGTTTGTATCACAAAGGAACAGCTTTTTCATTGCCCCCCTTAACATACCATTTGCAAAAGGTGTTTGACTAGATGACGCCGTGTTGCCGAAGCTGTTTACCGTCGTCTTGCAGAGGGTGATGAAATCATTGGAAAGAGAGAGTTATACTTGTTGGTGGAAGATACTTTTCTAACTCGTTTTGCGGACGATCCTCTTTTCGAGCAACCCGCAGAAGCGATGATGCTAAAAAAATTAAGCAAAGTAGGGAAGAGGATGGGGCTGCGATTTAAGAAAGACTCAGTTTATGGAGCCTTTTGCGAGGACTAAGAATTAAAATTGAAAAGTCTCCAACTGCGGAGAAGTCTTGTTACGTATACCTCGAGTGCTTGATGAACATAGAGAACGATTTGGAAGAGGAACTCAACAGGATGAGAAAAGCAGTTTGGGCCGCTTTGGGGTCTTTAAAAGAAGCCATAACTCAGCTGACAGACCCAGACCTGCGGGCCCAACATTTCGATAACCCAAAAAACGCTGGAACGATGTCTTCTGAAGTTTAACCGATGCGATGAACATCTCGTCATGCTTCGCAGTTCAGATATGAGATCGTCTTGCCTTCACGATCCAGCGGAATACGTCTCCAAAGCAAAACATCGATGGGCTGGTCATATAATGAGGACAGACAACAGATGGACACTAAGGGGTTTAAAACGGATCCCTCACGAAGCAAAACGTCGCCACCGACCAGATGAGCTAACTCTCGTTGCACGGATGGACCAGTTGAAATCTCAGCTGATAAGAAATAATGATCGTCGTGAACATCGCTGTGGTAATGCAATGCCAGCATCGTGGATGACGCTAGCGAGAAGCAGAAACGGATGGAGAAATTGCTGTGGTCTGACAAGTGAAGACGCGGTTTAAGTATCTAAGTAAGTAAATAAGTATTGACTACACTTCGTCTAACCACTGCAGCTAATTAAAATCTCATTGAATCATTGTAGTGAAACCTGTCTGAAAATCTTTGTCGATATAGGTGATTTGGTAGTTCAAGTATTGAATGCGAATTTCGCTTTTTCTCTACAGTTAACAGTAAAACTTATGCGGCACTATCACGCATCCTGCCT